CTTCTGCAGTGATAGCCATTCTACGCTAGTGCGCACACTCTGGATTCGTCCACGCGTCTCCTGCCGCGATAGCACAGGTCGCAGCGGCAACTGGCCGTCGTCGATGTGTCGCCTCGCCTGGCGGGACGGACCGAGATAAGTGGCGGCATTAGGCAGGCGAGATCTGGACTTTGTACCTTTGAACCGGGCTATTGAACTTGTCTGTTTTGTGGCGTCTGACCTAGCGCAATAATACGGCCAGTGAGAACGTCCAGCGTAGCTTGCGTCGAATGGAGCTGATTCTGATGGTGAAGAGTTTAGAGCAAGTGAAGAAACATGCATCTCGTGTGTTTATTTTTGTTGAAATAGCTCCGCTTGATCCTCTTCACTGATGACGTGGCATTGCGCTCATAGCTGTTTTCAAATGATGGTGGCTGGAGATACGAAGAGATATGTGGGGACTTCTGAGGAGATATGTGGGGACTTTTGAACCACATCAACATGTCTGGGCATTAACATGAGGACCTCAAACTGATGCATCCATACACATCACTGCGCACCATGCGCGCATTTCATATCGACCAGTGTTGATTTAACCCCGCCGCACCCTTAGCAATAACAACGCCTCCGGCGTTCCAAGAATGGGAGCTCCGGTCCAACTCGGACGACGACGAGCGATTTTGTTGAGACGAGCGGCCGCCGTTTAAACACGTGGCGATGACGCGCGGGGCCGCACACGGCGCCGCCGCCGGCCGGCCCACAAACATACCTGTCCGCCGTGTATTTACAGTGGGTGCCGGCGAACTCGGACCGGCAGCTATAGAGCCGATGGTCGTGCGGTCCCGGGCCAACGTATCGTGAAATTATACTGCCGCTATGCAGCTGCGGACCCGATGCCAGGCCGTCGCACGCTCTGGCTGTGAGCTGTATACATGGTTGGCCTTTCGCACATGGGATGTCCTAGGGACTGCTTAGCCGGTATTCGGCCAAATACATTCAATGCGTCAGGCTTATTTTGTTTTGCTGATTGCATTTGACCGAATGTTATCGTTGACCATGTGCCTTTGCCGCCGTATCAAAAAGCTGAAATGCTCAGGCCGAGCGGTAACTTGCCAGCTTGCCTTTTTGCCGATATTGACGAAATGTTTGTGAGTCAAAATACATATTTACTGAATGCCAACTTATCCAAATGCTCCTTAGTCTGATACTAGTTGCCGGAGCATTCTTTAGTTGAATGCTCATCTTCGCATATGCTGTTCAGTCAAATGTTGATAAGCTGAATCGTTATTTAGTCGAAAACTAATAAGCTGAAAAATCGTCTAGCCTTTCAAAATTTTCGGAGCGTGTTTTCAACGGATGTTGATTTGCTGCAATCCTCTTTATTCAAATGCTAATTAGCGGAATGTGCTTAAGCCGAATGCCTAAGCATCAAAATTATCTCAATAGGCTCTTTTTGTGGGCGGTTTTCACTGTCGCCTTACGAGAAGAGGCCTCAGCAGCTCACCTCAAGATCTCGAAAACCCAACAAGCTGGAACTACCGAAAAGACAGCGATGGAAAGGACTGGTCAAGCTGTATCATATAGATGTGAACGAATAATAGTGAATGCGCCTTTTCATGGCTTAAATTAGGTCCAACATAATTTTAGTACAAGAACTGAGCACATTACAGCACGGGAAACGGCATTGAATATATTAAAAAATCTCTATAGGATGGGCATCGACAGATCTGCCCTGTATGGTGTCATGTCAGGCTAGAGGGATCAAAGTTTTTGTTCCGGTTGGAGGCCATTGTTTCATTGACCCGCCAAGCTGTATGAAGAACCCAATAACGCAAACCTAACCGAATAAATCATCGTCCCTAAGACTGTTGCTTACGCCCCACCAAGCTTTGTCGTTCTTTCATGAGTAGTTCATGGGCCGCCCAATACGGTCTGCGGTCGTTATTGCTTGATATAATTACGAATTGTGCAATTCACGCTTCGGCAAATGAATTCAGCTAATCGGCCATTCAGCAAATTTTTCGTTCGTTTATTGCCGTTCGTCAAAATCACATTTCGACAAAAAGGTTATTTCACAGTTCGGTGATTTTCCATTCGCGTAATTGCCATTCGTCAAAGTCCCATTTTGGCATGTTGACATTCAACTGTTCCGGCTAACTTATTGTCGGCTAATCAGCATTTCAACCTTCGACTAATGCACATTTCGACAACTTTCACCCCGTTAAAAAACGAATCGTCGATATGGTTTTCGCTTTTTAGCCGTTCGCTTTCTTGGCATGGCGGCAAACGGCGTGTTAGCAGAAGGCATTCAAGTTTTCACATTTGGTGAAAAGCATGAGGCTAAACACCAATCGGAACTTAGGACTGGAACCTGTTGCCACGCATTACGAGGTCTGGGTTATGAGCATCGCGGAGTCCAAATACCTCAGGGATGGGAGCCGAGAACGAAGCTTTTGCTGTCAACCATTATTTAATGTTACGGGCTCATTCGCGTCAATGATTAAGTTCTTTTCCAAGCTACTATGCGGCATGCATTATTTTACTGAACTGGAATCCGTCAACTTTACGTGACTGATGACGAGGACTCTCGGCCGCTGGTGGCGCTGACAATCTCAGTGGCTGCTGCAACTGTTCGAGAATGGCTTGACCACTTTGGGATCATTTTTGGCCGGGATTTTTGTTAGGCTTGGGCTGATGAATAAAGCCACCCAACATGTGCTAAAGTTTGGGATTACATTTCCGATACATAGATGCGTCTACTGAAACCAACAGCTGATCAGTAGTTCATTTTTGTATGCATCCATGGATGTACACTGAACATAAATTGCACTCGGGTATTTATTCATTTCCATCCCTTATTCATCTTGCGTGGGCACTTAATAGGGGCCTTCATGGCGAAATTTCCTTAACCAATCCAGCTGCAACCCATGGGGCTGTGTTCATGCCCACACGCTGCCCATTCTTTTTTGTCGATAATCGCAAAACTGTATGTGAATGGAGCTAACTATGAATAAAGAAGCGCAATTGGTAACATTGCGTAGCAGTCTTTGAAGCATAGAACCGACATTTTGTCAAGATCTGGACCCTTGCCCATAGCCAGATACGTAATTTTCTCGATGAGCACCTAACCCCAGCCTATGTCCATTTGGGTGGTCATTTCAAATGGTACCACTTGTTGCTTTACCCAGCCTGTGGAGTACTCTGGAACCTATCAGGTCCTCTCTGCAGCTGTTTCGGTGTCAGCTGCGTCACTATAGCGCGGCTCAGTTCGCCACGGCTGCAGCCATGATCGAGAATGACACTGGACAGAAAATGGCACAATGACCACCTCGAACAACGCGTGTCAACCCAGCGTTCAGGCGTGGGGCGAGACAGAGGACAGTCCTCCCTGTCCACCGACAGCCCACTGACCGTGAGACGGTCCTCCCGGTCCACCGACAGCCCACTGACCGTGAGGACGGTCCTCCCGGTCCACCGACAGCCCACTGACCGTGAGACAGTCCTCCCGGTCCACCGACAGCCCACTGACCGTGAGACAGTCCTCCCGGTCCAACCGACAGCCCACTGACCGTGGACCTTCCTGCCGTCGGGCGTGGTCATCTCCTGCTCGGCGGCCGATGTCGAACTCCTGCTCGTGCGTCTTGAACGAGGTGACCTGGCGCAGCTCCAGTGGATGCCGTCGGGTGGTGACGGTGATGACCGGCGTGGCCGCGTTCGCCGCCTTCCTTGTGATGAGGCCGACCCCTGCATGTGGATGGCCACGTGAGATGACCACACCAGTGGTTGTAAGAGGAAACGCCACGCGCGCTGGCCGCACATCCTTTTACGAAGTATCCGCGGCTGCAGTGGTCGTAATAACAACCCGGAAGCTATGGCACAGGGGATGTTGGAACCCAGGACCTAACGTGGGTGCCGAACGCGCTAACCAGCCGGCCTTTACGCTCAATATCTTGCAGCGTCTGACCTCGGTATATCGTGGAGCTTCGGGTCAGATCAGGTCAGAATGCGCTCGTCGGCCAGCGCCAGAGGATAAGTTTGAACTGAACACATGCTGCAGACATGGGCGCGTCTTGGGTCCGCACTCTGGGTCAGTCGGAGGTTTCGGTCTGTTTTAGTCTAGCGGCCGGGTGACCCGGTGTGACGGTCTGCTGGTCGGCAGCCAGTCTGTCCCATGATGAAGCCGCCGTCTCCGTTTTCGGTGCGTTGCCGCGGCACACGCCCGGCTGCAGGCACAACTCGGGAGACGAGAGCCGGGTCCGAGAGAAACGGAGCAAACCAACTATGTTCAGCAGTTGGGTCCTTGTGGTCCAGTGGGGTTTTAGGGCGCGCCGACAACTGAGGCCATTTTGCGCCCAAAATGAGGTCATGAGGTCAGCAGTTGTGTCCATTGCAAATGCAACTTCTTTGGTTAAGTGCATTGCCCTGCACGGGAATACACCTACCTTTATCGAAGGGAACTATTGTGAGATATGCTCCACGCTTGGTTATTCGTGACAACACAACAGCGTCCGTGTTACGTCGAAAAGGACCGCTGGCCGTATGCCTACGAGGTTGAAGTATTGGAGAAGAATCAGGAGATGTTGACAAGTGAGCACAATAAGTCAAGTCATGCAGCCAATTGTCTGTGGGGGACTCCGGCACAGCTCCGGATCAACGCAGACAGCCGCCCAAAATGAGCTCGCATTCCGGCCGTCGTCGCCTCCGCCGGTCGCCGCCACTCACCCATGGCCTTCATCACCTCGTCGAACTTGTCGGACGACGCCAGCTTGTACTCGCCGTTGTAGGTGACCATGGTGGCGGGGGCGCGGGGCGTGCTGCGTGCGGCGTGCTGCGTGGAAGAGTGAGGCGCCCCGGCCGGCCGGCTGCCCACCCCCTCCCCTCCCCGCCCGATAAGGTAAGCACGGCGGCGGCGGCGCAGGGCGAAGTCCAGATGCGGCGCGACCATGTACAGCGCCGCACATACACCCTTCGCTCTCGGCGCCGGCTGTGATGACACCCAGTCGGTGCTTACAGACGCAGACGTGTTGGCGTGAGTCGGAGCAGCGCGCCGGCTCGTCTCGCGGTGCATTCGGCCGTCAGGTGGGGGGGGGGGGGGCGGAGGCACACTATGCCGCCGCCTCACTTCGACTCGCTAATTTTTGGGCGAAGAATATGTCAGGGTTTCGAAAAAGCCGAACTGTTATCGGTACTTTCACTACTTGTATACACATCAACAAGCCGAATGTGGATTTCCAAAAAGCTTGCACACCAGTGGTAGCACGCCACATGAGGTCGCGCCTGATCGTAATTAGAGGTCATGTGAGGTCACACCTGGTCATATTCAGAGGTCACGTGAGATCGCACCTGATATAATAAGGGGCCATGTGAGCTCATACCTGAAAATAATCAGAGGTCATGTGAGGTCTCACCTGACACTAATAATTATTGGCCACGTGAGGTTAAATTACAAATATTGAGCAAAACTAATTTGTAAAAACAAAACAAAGCAAAACTGTAATTTGTTGTGCCCATTTGTGATAAATGAGTGCCTGTAGCTAGCGCAAAGCCCTCTATTGGCTTCATCATGCTTGCGCTGTGCACCAGACTGTCCGAAAATTAGATCCGATGAGGGTGACCTGACCTTCAGCCCATGACCTTCACCTGACATGACCTTGGCCAGCAGCGTAGTTTTGCAAATGAGTTGGAGGGTACTGAACAGTGAAAAATGATCCAACATGGCCCCAAAAGTATGCCAACAAGCAGGATTCTCCCCCGATTTCGCCCACTTTCTCCCCAAAGTTGGGGGACTAAGTCCCCAACTAAACAGAAAACTATACCCATAACCTTGATCCGAACTGGTCTTGTTCCTTGACCTCTATCTTGACCATCATCCGCATATGATGGTATGCAGATGATGACGTGACGGTATGAGGTCGATGATACGATTGTATGATGGACACGCACAAAACTGTACCACTAATATTGCGAGTGATAGAGGGTCCTCTGGTCGTTCAAAGCATTTGCTGGTTTTCCAATGGAAAACACTAAGCACTGGATGAAAACGCTGTTGTTTTCGTAAAGATCAGTCCCAGTAATCTACAGGCAGCAGTAATCAAACAACCAGGAATGTTCTACAAGGAGATTCAAACCAACTACAGCTTTCCAGTGACATGCAGCCTTTACGTTCATTTGGCAGGAAAAAACGACTTAACATAGCCTTGCTCCTGGGTTGTCCAGGTGTCACGTTTACACGCGCTCGGGTGAGTGGTCAGTTTGAACCCCCGAAGGTTTTCCGGAATAATTTCCCAACGGCGCAGCGCAGCCGCGTCAAATCTTGCGTAGGTGTAGACAGTTGAATAGTGGATCGTTTAGTTTCGCACATTTTGATGCATCTAGTGGGGTTGCTGGCCTACGGCAAGTCAGTCAGGCCAGGGATTCAGCGAAGGCAATCTCTAGGGATTCGTTTAATCTGATGCAGCAACGGTGTGTTACACGAAGCCATACTTCCTTGAGATGTCTTCTTAGGCAACACAGCAATTGAATCAACACACTCCATTGACCTAGCGTCAGGTATGAGGGTCAGACTAGGTTAAAAAACCTGCTTTATTACTCTAGGGCTTGATGTTTGAGGTAGTTTCTGGTGTTCACTGCGAATTTATTGATAACAGGAACAGCATTATTATCTTCCATGAGCTTTTTAAAGGTCAGAATAGGTTACTGACCCAAAATGACCCTGGTCAAAATTTCGTTTTAGGAGCATGCTGCATGGCCTAATCTTCGTTGCTTATTGAAATGCAAAACTCAAAGCAGTCGTGTACGATTTTGGTCACCATGACCTTCGAAAAGTCATGGTAACCAAAATAACCAAGGCCACTAATCTCAAGTGGGCGTGCGACGTTTTGCTTAGGCAGGTCTATAGGTTCTGGGGACACGTTGGAGACCAGCCTGAAGTTTGACCTTGTTTGACCTCATTTAACCTGAAGTCAGTTGTCTAGGAACCCCAAGCTTTGGCCTAAATGAGCCCACGTAGAAGCGAAAACACTGTGAATTTGTCGTCCCTAATCTCCTAATTCCTGAGATCTCAGGGCGGTAAAATTGACCCTATCCAGCGAAGGGTATCCAAGGTGTCCAAAGGTATCCGAAGGGTATCGAAGCGGCCACCCTGGCGCGTGTTAAGCTGCACTGGTTGAATAAAATGTCATAGTCTGGCACTTTTACCATGGCACAAAACGTAAGAAGTGTCTATCTGGTGGGCTTATGTTGGATATCGAATGTGTATATCTTGATTTCTAGACGCCACAGTTTTCGATGCACGGGCTTACGAGTGCAGTGGCACAAGCATCTGTACCTGGGCAACGGCTGCTGCGCATTAACGCGCGCCGCGGTGTCCGGTTGAATATCCTTCGTTGAGATAGCTAGAGACACCAAGTTTACAGGGTCACTTAACCTGCATATGAGCTCACTTATGTCCAAATTTGAGGTTCCTTGGTCATGGCCTTGAGGTCAAACAAGGTCAAACAGGGTTATACCACAGATAAGTGTCCAAAGTGCCCGCAGACCTCACGGAACCACCGTGAACATAGATACCTGTTCTAAGCAAAACGCCAATGGTGATCATTTAAGGCTAGTGACCTTGTTTGGCTTTCAAAAGGTCAAGGTGATCAAAAGACTATGATATTGCCGTTATTTGTCATCTAAATAAGCGTTAGGGATTACGCTATGTGTTACGTTTCTCAAGGCAAAACCTTTGCCAAGGTCACTTTCGTTCAGCTGCCTAATCTGATCTTTGTTTCATGGAACATATTGTTATATAAAGTTCATGGAACATATCTGTTTCGATCCCGGTTGCAAATAAATTTAAAATGAGCTTCAAAAGCTGTCTCCAAAGCAGGCTGTCGAGTAAAAAGGTGGGTTATTTTAGACACCGGTCTGGCCTTTATGCCTGAACCTAGGTCAATGCACTTTGTTGTGATTCTAAACTCATTTGATGCATTGCTTAAAACTGTCCCAAAGATGTATGCCTTCGTTTAACACTCCGCTGTCGCATCAGATTGAACAATCTCTAGAAATGGCCTTCGCTGACAGCCAAGGCCTTTTGCCTTATAAGTAACATATACTGTTCTATGTCAAAAGATCCGCTATCCAACCGCCTGCAGTCATGCAATTTGGTGCGGCTACGCCGTGCCGTTCGGAAGTCATTTTGAAAAACCGTCGAGGGTCAAATTGCCCCACACAGCCGATGGAAAATCAGAATTAGGTAAAATTGTATTTCTTGCGTGCATATTGGGGGACTGGGATGAGTTACCTCATGTTGAAGTAGTACCAGTGTGCCGTATGCCAAATCTATGCAGTGGATGACAGTCTTGAGTCACAGGAACTGCTATGCTGACGCACAACACAGCCGATGGAAAATCAGAATTAGGTAAAATTGTATTTCTTGCGTGCATATTGGGGGACTGGGATGAGTTACCTCATGTTGAAGTAGTACCAGTGTGCCGTATGCCAAATCTATGCAGTGGATGACAGTCTTGAGTCACAGGAACTGCTATGCTGACGCACAACAGCTCTCACGTCAGTTGTTAAGTGCATTTGCGAGGAACATCATGCATATGTGTAGATCAGACAGAGCTAATAGCCCGATTCCCTGAAGAATAAACAGGAGAATAAAGAAATACCTAGATATCATATGTCGGCTACATGCCCTTATCGAAACGAATATCAGTAGTAAATTAAAAATTGCCTGCCGATCCTACTAGATTTTTCAGGTTTTTTCAAACAGCAAGCCTCAGTTTTTACAGGTCACCAACACTTAGGCTTGGTGGATTAAACAAGGAGCAACTGTCAGCCATTTGCAAGATGCAGCGCAAATCTGTCTAATAATTTAAATACGGGAAAAATACGTGCGCATGCAAACAAAGTCAAGTAAACAGGCATCACGCATCACGCGTTAGGCATTTCTCATGCAAGAAAACGATGTCGTCATGACAAATCCATCATAATCCATCATGTCACGAATTCATCACATACATCACAAATTCAGGGAGGTACAGACCCTTTATCCCTTTTGAGTTTAAAGACACGTACAAAGCACATGACCATCCAGACAGGAAAATAAGGGGATCTATTCTAATAAGAAATCGGCCACCAGACCTTAACGTACATGGCTCATCATGCCCCATTATGCGTATGTGATTAGTGCCTTGATGTGCGATGCATGCTGGCTTAAAATCGCTTACATATATGAGTGGTGTGACGTGCGATGCCCGTTTAATTGAAATCGTTTGCATGTGTAAGTAATGTATGATGCGCAATGCCTACTCACCCGAAGTCGTTGCTTGCAATCGCATGCGTTTATGAATGATACGTTATACATGGTGCCTGTTTGCTTTAATTCTCCTGCGTGTACAAATATTTTCCGCGTATTTTACGCGCATTTTACACGTACACGTTCCATACGTTGCGTTTACACGTACACGCATTTATCACTTCATCGGACCTAATTTTCGGATTGTCTGGTACATACTATGTGCACGAAAATCAGGTGTGACCTCATGACCGCACATGATCTCTGATCAGGTGATCCCACATGACTTCTGATTACATATGTGACATCACATGACCTCTGGTAAGGTGACATCACTTGACCTCTGATTATAATCAGATGTGACTTCACATGACCTCTGATTGTGACCAGGTGTGACCTCACACGATCTCTGATTATGATCCACTCCGAAGTCCTATATGCTAAGGAAGATTTGTCAGCGTGTCGTTGACATGTTGACAACGGCCAGCATCCTACACCAGCCCCACTTTCTATTTCAGATCACTTATCGTCGCGCTTGAAAATATGTGCGTCTTGGCTGAGGTTTAGTGTCCTATCAGTTCAAGAGCTCCGACTACCGCTGCCAAAACTGCATCGCGTTCGGAGGATCCCGCTGCCGGTCCCTGTCGCGTGTAAAGTGGACCGATCTCTGCGTGCTTGCAGGGCGCGCTCGTGGCAGCGATGCACGTGCTTCGCTAATGGATCTGACCCGGCTTGGGGATGACTCAGCAGTCCAGGGGCACGCTTGCGAGAGGTCTGCCGCCCTGTCTGGTGGGAGGGGAGCGGGGACAAAGTCCAGCCAAACAGGACACGTCTCGGCGGCGTCCGCCTCCGTCTCGCGCTGTGCCGGCGCAGGGTCGAAGATCGGGCGTCTGAGGGACCTTTGGCATGGACGCGGCGCCGACTATTCGCGGCGAGTTTACAGCTCGCCTGGCGGTGTGAGGTCGTCACGTCCTCGCCACCCAGCCGCTGTTAGCGTCAGTGACGGGTGACAGAAACATGCCAGAAGACAAGGTGCACCGAAGCCGCGTAGCTTTGATATCGAGCCATTATCCGACCTGGTCTGTTCCGCTGCGGGTGGTATCTGCGACGCTTGTGGACATCCACCGTAGCTATGTGCGTTGTGCCAAGGCATGGAAATGTGCTTGCGAGTGGATGGCGGTTGCGGTTTATGTTGCAGCTTCCCGATTTTTCAGTATTACAGTAATCAGCAATGACTTGCAAAACCTCCTGATGACACATCCGAGACGATGGCCGGCCTTGAATATTAACCCGAAATTGCGAGAGAGCGATATACATATATATATATATATAACCCGAAATTGCGAGAGAGCGATATACATATATATATATATATATATATATATATATATATATATATATATATATATACATATATATCCGGCACGAGGACAATGCCAAGCCCGATGATGACTGATCTGGAATAGAAGGTAGGGCTGGCGTAGCATGCTGGCCAGCAGGACGGTGAGTACTATGACCGATCCTGGGCTGACGAGCACCGCATGATCGGACCCCGCTGGACGCGGCACATGGGGGCGGCGAAAAACGGGCCCACATGTCGTTGGCAACATATCCTTGACATGTTGACAAATCTTCCTTAGCGTGTAAGACTTCGGAGTGTATACATTAGCCGCGATGCCCACTACTCAACGCTGCCCGCATCCCATTCATTAATTCTGCTCGGCGTTTATAGGATTCTTGAAAGCTTGTTTGAATTACGGCCACGGTGTGTATTAACCAATAACACCCATCCCTTGCAAAACGCTTCAAAACGACCCACATGTAGCCAATTGCAAGGCCCACAAGCTGCACACAACTCACATCATAAAAAAATGCGTTGCCCAAGGCGTCACACCAATGAAAGACAAAATGCCCAGACACAAAACATAGATTAGGTCAGTCGGTCAATGCCACGTCACTCGTCGACCCGGCGTCGGCTAGACCTCACACCACACACAAATCCTTTGCAGGAGGTGAGCAAGGGATCCCACAGCGCACCCAAACACGTCCTCAGAAATACGGCTAGGACCGTCGTTTCCAAAACCCAGCGTTGTCATGCTACCGACGGAAGATCTACTGAATGTGTCCGCGCCACTGTGCTCAAAAGCACGCGCCAAGGCGAGCATCGCCAGTATATGACACGGTGCTGGGGCGGCCAGCGCCGCGTCAGGTGACCTATTCGTCTCAGTGCCGGCCGGAACCGCGTGGTCCGGCCGATCGCCGAGCCTGTTCCGTCGGCCCACGCAGCGAAGGCAGCGAGCGTCGGCGCGTACTCCCCGCAGCAGGAGAACCCACGCTCACCACTCTAGCGCGGCGGCTCGGTGCAACGCCGCTCCCTGAGCGCGCGTTCGCTCGGCGGGGCTCCGAGGCGGAGAGGCAGTCCTGTCTTTGGTTTGGCGCGATGTGTGCGGCCTTTGCGGAGCACCGCGTGAGGTCCAGACTGCAGACGCGCGAGACGCCGACCGGGCGCCTGTCCCACGCCAGCGATGGGAACACGCACTCCTCCCCTTCCGCACCAGGTGCAGGGCCAGGGTCTCGGAGGGAGCCGAAGCACAGATCCAGGGCACTCCCGGCTACACCAGCGTGAAGAGAGACTCGTCGTCGTTAGCGGCGGATGCCGGCTCGTCCTCCTCGTCCAGCGGCGACTCGTCCAGATCTCGCACAGCCTCCTCGAAGCTGTACTCGTAGTTCCTGGCCAGCTGTCGGTTTTTGTCGTGCTCCAGCAGCGCCTCCTGCCCACCCATCTGAAACAGGCGTGCCCATCTCAGCGGCCGGAGGCCTGAGACGTCTGCAAAGTCCACACGAGTCGGAGAGCAGCCTCCTAGCCAAGCCACACACACACACACACACACTTAAGCGGCGTCGAATGGTAAGCGATGACGCGGGTGTCCCCGGCTCAGCAGTGGGGACGAAGCGTACCTTTCGCCATCGACACGGCAGCGCTCCACTCAGCTCGTGTCTCACCCGAGGCCACAGTGATGGGCTCACACGCTACTCGGGCTGGAAGCTGGCGAGTGAAGTCCCGACTTCAGGCCGCGGCGAGACAACAACGCCGCAACCGTAGGCAGTCAGATGTGATGTGGCGGTAGCTCTGTAGTGGTGCGAGGTCAACACCCCAACGAGTGAGGTCACCGATAGGTGGCGCCAATGAGTGTTGTGGTGTCTGGTGAGAACCGTGAGTGTGTCGAGAGGTTAGTTAATTGTTTTTATGTTTGGCAATAGTATGGGCAATTTATCTATGAATAAGCGATGGCTAATGTAGCTATTGTTTGGCGGCTCATGACATATTGTCAATCATAACGAGGCAGATTGTTGCTGCGATGAGATGATATAGCTGCGATAGAAATCATATAGCGAGATCCGTCCCTCTTATCCCGTATCTTGCTTTATCCTGCGTCCTAGCGACGCCTAGCTCGTCCGGGGCGGGCTGCATGCGTCAACCACGGGTGGACCGGGGGGCCCCGTGGGAAGGGAGACCCCGAGCGGGTACCCAGCGCGCATGCGCGGGTTAAAGCTCGGCAGGCTCCCAGGCGCTTGCAAGTCTGCCCCACCGTTAACCATTTTCCTTCATCCCATAGCTCTAAAATGATCATTTCTGGTCGAAGCGGCTCTAATCCAACACAACAATATCGCGATAGAATATATACTGCGCAGCCTGCCAACGTGTTTCTCGCTCTTCGTGACCCGTCCCTCTTTGGACGCGTTTCCCTGTCAGTCAGTCCGAGCCGGCATCACGCTTATGCCGGCACCGATGTTTCACACCGGACCAAGACAGCCACCGCAGCAGGGCAGTGCTAGTCCCGGCCACGCGGCCGCGACCAGCTTGTGACGGCACGAGTTCTGAGGTGCGGGTGATTACGCTTGTGTCGCACCGCACGGGGGCTCGGGCTGTCAACTGAAGACAACAACAGGGCAACTATTGCCACCTTCTCTATCGTCGCCGAAGATAGTGGCATGCACGACAGCTCCATACACAACGCACTCGACACAGAAGCGTCAGCGTATGCGCATATTTGCTGTCAGCCAGTACTCGGTATACATCATGGCAACAGCGTGCCTGCCCTGCAATGGACGCATACACTGCTCATAGCAGTATACTCACTATGATCGTGACTAGGGCGTTCTCAAACGCCGAAACCTCTTCATCCGTCAGCGTGTGTTCTTTCTGCAAATTGTTCACGTCTGGATACTTCAGAAAGCGCACCTTGATCTCCGGACCTGAAAAAAAAACAGTAGCAGTGGCTATCAGAGAACAGGGTTTTTCCCACGGCCGCCAGAGACATACATCTATAGCCCGAACCAAACGCCTCGGAATACCTGCAAGACACCCCTCGCCTCAGCTACACCAAACGTCCGCGCCCGCTCTGCCCCTTCCGCGACGCGCGCGCGACGCCCGCACCCGCTGGCGCCGCCGACCGCCGAGCCAGCTCGGCCGCCCCTGGGGCGGAGGCTCACCGTGGCCGTCGAGGCCGACACGGCCCAGCTTCTGGCGCACGGCCTTCTCGACGCGCGCGCGACGCCCGCACCCGCTGGAGCCGCCGACCGCCGAGCCAGCTCGGCCGCCCCTGGGGCGGAGGCTCACCGTGGCCGTCGAGGCCGACACGGCCCAGCTTCTGGCGCACGGCCTTCTCGACGCGCGCGCGCTGCTCGCGGTCGATCTCGCTCACTTGGACCATCTTGTCCAGCCGGAGCGAATCGACCGTGGTGAACTTCACCCGACCCTGCGAGCACACGTGACACGCACGCTCACCCCGACCATAACGTGCCTCTGAGACCGAGAGGGGGAGGCGCGGAGAGTGGTGCGCGCCACAACACGCCGAGAAGGCTGCTATGATTCAAACTCGTGTATCGAGATCAGGCTCCAGGAAAGACCGAGTTCAACTTGCGGAAGGCACAAAATGGCGGCATTCTCGATGTGTCATGCATACATGTCGGTAGTTTGGGATGTGTCCACAAGAAGCAAGCACACTTAAACTCCAACTTGGAGAGACGCTAGATTCCAGCGTCGAGCTGACAGCCCGGCCTCCGAGCCCTGGAGGCCTGCGCCGGCTGCTCACCTCTCGCGCCTCGCCGGGCGCATCATCCTCGTCTTCCTCGTCCCCACTCTCCTCCGCAGTGTCGTCCGTCGGGGAGTCCCGGACGGAGGACTCTGGGAAAACCAACAAGGCCAGCATGAGGAGAGCTGAACCCCCAGTGACCCCGCCCGTGGCACTCGGCGGCACTCGACTGGCTGCTGCCAGGACCAGACCCTCCCAGTGGAGGCCTCCACGCGATCAGGCGGAGGCGCGTCCCTTGTAAGCACGAGCACGGTCGAACGCGGGCCTTCCTTACAGAACACTAACATGCCCAAGCACTTCCGAGCCATAACGGCATTCGCGATGGTTACACGGACGTAAGCGAAACAGGCCTCCGCACATACTAGCATCCATTATGACATGTGAGACGTTACGCACAGCGCCTGGCTCGGTCAGATTTCCCGTAACAGCCTCGACTGCCCCGGCTTCTGAAGCTCCCTTCACCGGTCGGTGGCACCTGGGTCAGGTAGCCAGGTGGCTGGCTCCATGCGTCCGGAACACCGGAAACTAACGACGGCCGGCTCCGCAATTCCGGAGCACCGGAAACTATCGACGGCCGACTCCGCAAGTCCGGAGCACCGGAAACTAACGACGGCCGGCTCCGCACGTCCGGAGCACCGGAAACTAACGACGGCCGGCTCCGCACGTCCGGAGCACCGGAAACTAACGACGGCCGGCTCCGCACGTCCGGAGCACCGGAAACTAACGACGGCCGGCTCCGCAAGTCCGGAGCACCGGAAACTATCGACGGCCGGCTCCGCACGTCCGGAGCACCGGAAACTAACGACGGCCGGCAGGCCGGCGTGGAGATGGGAGCGGAGATGACAGCGCCGCCGATCGCCACGCGTACCTGCCTCCTCGGCGGCGGCGGGCTCCTCCGGCGCGGCGGGCTCCTCAGCCTGCGTCACAGCCAGCAAGCCGTCCCGCATCGCCTGCCAGACAGCCGGCGCCGAACGACAGGTCACCGCACAGGTCATGACAGCGGAGTCGAGTGAGGTCCACGGGAGCAGGCGGGACTTCACCGGCCTCACCACACAGGTCACTGTCGGCTCTGAAGTCGGCGTTCGTCCCGGAGTGCGGTGATCGCCTCGGGGCTGGAACGCCCGTCCCGAGGACGGCGCCTCTCCCGGCACCGCGCTGGAGCGTCACTTCCGTGCCCAGGGCGTCACCTCTGTCGTCAGAGCGTCAAATCTGTCTATGGAGCATCGCCGCTGTCCCGAAAGTGTCATCTCCGTCCCCAAAGCATCACCTCTGTCCCAGACCGCTCCGTCCCCACGTCAATTTTGTCTGCAGAGTGGGAGCATTAGTTTTGCCCTCAGAGCGGCATTTCACACCAGAGCGTCACCTCCGTCCTAGGGGCGTCATCTCCGTCTCCGGAGCGTCACCTCTGTCTCCGGGGCGTCAGCTCTGTCCCCGGAGCGTCACCTCCGTCCCAGGGGCGTCATCTCCGTCTCCGGAGCGTCACCTCTGTCTCCGGAGCGTCACCTCTGTCTCTGGGGCGTCAGCTCTGTCCCCGGAGCGTCACCTCTGTCTCTGGGGCGTCAGCTCTGTCCCCGGAGCGTCACCTCCGTCCCAGGGGCGTCATCTCCGTCTCCGGAGCGTCACCTCTGTCTCTGGGGCGTCAGCTCTGTCCCCGGAGCGTCACCTCTGTCTCTGGGGCGTCAGCTCTGTCCCCGGAGCGTCACCTCCGTCCCAGGGGCGTCATCTCCGTCTCCGGAGCGTCACCTCTGTCTCTGGGGCGTCAGCTCTGTCCCCGGAGCGTCACCTCGGTCCCCAGAGCACCACTTCTGTCTCCGGAGCGTCACCTCTGTCTCTGGGGCGTCAGCTCTGTCCCCAGAGCACCACTTCTGTCTTCGGAGCGTCACCTGTCATGAGAGCATTGCCCTTAGAGCGTCACCTTCGTTCAAATGAGTCGCCTCTGACGCAGAGCGTCACCCCTGCCCCATGGCGTCTCTTTGTCCCTAGCGTGTCATCCCTGTACCCCACGTGTCGTCCTTGTCCCCAGTGCGTCACCCTGTCCACAGCGCGTTATCCTTGTACCCAGCGTGTCACCCCTGTCCCCAGTGTGTCACACCTGTCCCAAGTGTGTCAGCCCTGTCTCAAGCTCTGCCCAACGTGTCAGCCCTGCACTAGTGTGTCAGCCCTGTCCCCAGCGTGTCAGCCCTCCATCAGTGTGTCAGCCCTGTCCCCAGTATGTCAGCCCTCCATCGGTGTGTCAGCCCTGTCTCCAGTATGTCAGCCCTCCATCAGTGTATCAGCCCTGTCCCCAGCGTGTCAGCTCTCCATCAGTGTGTCACCCCTGCCCCAGCGTGTCACCCCTACCCCAGCTTGTCAGCCCCTGCCCCGGCAGGTCACCTCTGTCTCAGTGAAGAAACTCTGCAGCTGGCTGGAGAGCGCGGTCAGGTCGGCGACGGTGCTGGCCAGCTGCTGCACGGTGGCGTCCGAGATGAGCGACGGCTCGGCACGCATCAGCTGCTGCAGACGGCGCGACTCCTCGGTCACCGCCACCGAAACCTGGCCGACAGCGGGGGTGCTCACGCGCGGGTCGCGTCACCGACGGCCGCGCCACGCGCCGCAGGAACACGCTGTCGTCGACTACCGAGCCGGCGGTCAGCACGAGCTGCCAGCGGTAAGAGCGTGCGACCGCTATCTGAACGCTGAATGAACACGTAATAAAAAAACCCAGATAGGACGGGATACAAACGCTTCCCAGGTTTATCAATCATCCAATGTCAGTCAGACTTGAGTGTCCGACGGAACTGGGATCGACCCCCACTCGGCATACCTCCGAGAAAGAGGTGAGCGTGTTCGTGTACTGTAGCAGCTCGGTGACAATCTCCTGAGAGCGGTGGCCTTGTTCGGCTTCGCTGAACAGCTCCTGCCAAGGGCAAGGCGACAAAATGCAGTGGCACCTGGCGCCTTCCAACACTTCGACCACGCGGGCCTATAGCGCCCATGGAGTGACAGCGGCTTGCAGAAGTTACCGCAACGAGACGGCGGAAATGTTGACATTAGCTGCTTAATGAGCAAACCAGGGTCATGAAACAATCATCACCTTTTGTGAAAATTGCATACAATTAGTATTGACGCACAAGTTGACTCCTTTCGCGCGCCACATCCAGCAACAGCCGGACAATCGGGGTCACATCGGGATTACTGCCATTCCCCGGTACCCGGCGGGAGCCACAGCGGTCGGCGGCGGGAATCTCAGCGGTCGACGGCAGGAATCACGGCGGTCGGCGGCGGGAATCTCAGCGGTCGACGGCAGGAATCTCAGCGGTCGACGGCAGGAATCACGGCGGTCGGCGGCGGGAATCCCAGCGGTCGACGGCAGGAATCTCAGCGGTCGACGGCAGGAATCACGGCGGTCGGAGGCGGGAATCTCAGCGGTCGACGGCGGGAATCTCACCGGTCGGCGGCAGGAATCACGGCGGTCGGCGGGAGGAATCACAGCGGTCGACGGCAGGAATCACAGCGGTCGACGGCAGGAATCACAGCGGTCGACGGCAGGAGTCAAAGCGGTCGACGGCAGGAGTCACAGCGGTCGACGGCAGGAATCTCAGCGGCGGCGGAGAATATCCACATTTATCACGATAGGAAGTCCGCGCTGGTCGATGGAAAGGTCTCCAGCGGAAGGGGAGGGGGTTCACCAGGGTCGGCGGACCGGCCTGGCCGGACATACCATGATTCTGGCGTTCCTCTTCAGCTGCTCCTCTGTGGCCAGCCGGTGGCGGCTCTGCAGCTGGTGCAGCCGGTCCACACCAAAGACGCCGTCTGAAAGGCATGATCGGGTAACGGAGTCACGGTGGTGTCACGCGGTACGGGCGCACACTAGGCACTCAGTGTCTCCGAATTTGCATAATGCATATCACAATGTCATGCCCATTTGAGAGCACGAAGGAGAGCAAAATATCGGCTTGTGCTGTGCCAGCCAACAACTGGCCACAGGCTTGTCAACAAACCATGCACAAAATACTGATTTATGACCCATACAGGATGTCAGTCACGCAACCTACGACCACAAACAATCCCTGTGGGGTCCTGATGCTGTGCCGGCGCGCTGAGTGACGTAACGGCCGGCCCTCCCACCGTCAGCCGATGGGCCGGGGACACGCTGCTGACATCCAAGCGGACAGATGGCGTTACAGCGGCTCGTGAGCAGCTGGTCTCGAGCCATCCGACTGGTACCCGGTCAATACGCAGTAGTGTCTCTCGTGACTCACCCGTGTCAAACTCAGACACGATGTTGATGTAGCCGTGTATCACATCGTCCAGGATGTCTCCCAGCTTTTTCGTCTGCGATGAGACGCCTTCGAAGAGGTACTTGACTGAAATGGCCCATGCACTTTGCTTGTGATCCGGACACGACTACACATCGAATGGAAAGCTAGCACTACCGTAAAACTATGCCATGATTGGGAGCACCCACATGGCGTCCCTGGATTTCGACTGAATCTGATTCAGTCAGCATTCCGCCGTTTACTTCAGACAAAAATAGCGTGTTTTATGAGTGTCTGGCTGATACTGAACGCAAGCATCCCACATAGGCAGCAATGTACCAACACCGAAGCGGTAACAATGCCCCCCCCCCCCTCCCCAAGCTTTACAGAACCGTTGCGCTTCATGGCAGGAAGTACGAGCGCGCGAACCACGCGTGCTCTAGAGCTTTCCGTTCGTCAGCGAAACGGGAGCCCTGGCTTTGGAGGCCCATGCCGGCCCCAGTCCGCGTCAGGAGGCAGCCTCTGTGCGCTCCAGGGTCGCGGCCCGGCCGCGGCGCTCACTCTGCGTCAGGTCCAGCTGCTCGGGCTGCTGGTCAGGCCGGCGGCCGACCCAGCGCGCCAGCCGCTCGGCGCGGCGGCCGGTGCGCCGCAGCCGAGCCGCCCCCAGTCGCTGCAGCTGGTCGGCCGACAGCGCCGGCCGGCAGCTGACGGCGTGCGGCCGGCTGGCCGGCGGCGGCGCCAGCGTCCGGTGGCCGCACGTACGCGCCGTCTGCACCGTCAGCACGTACCGGCACGTCTCCGGCTCGTCGACGCGCACCACCGCGTCCGCGGCCTCCTCCTCACAAACGTACTGCCGGAAAGCGATGCCCTTACCTCTCCACACACCCTCTGGAAACGGACATGCCAGTGCCTCCCCACACATGTGCTCGAAAAGCCATGTGTACATCCCGCTGCGCACGCAACGCAACAGACCCTCGTGGCGCAATAACTCAGCAATAACTGGTCATGTCCATAGCGAAGCGGACGCGTCAATGCGCTAGTGAAGGATGGCCATTTTCCAATACCATTACAACAGCACAGAATGCCAAGATAGAGCATCGCTGTCGCGGCATGACGTCTGCGGTGACGAACAGATTACAGTTCTGTCACGGGCCAACTGTGCTGCTAATCACAGCCCGGTCACATGACCCACACGGATCTAGGCCGAGCGTGACCAGCCAGTCAGGGTCAGACTCGGACCGTATGACCCACGCGGACCTCGGCCGAGCGCTTCCGCCCAGTTAAAGTCAGATTTAGGTCACATAACTCACCCAGACCTCGGCCGAGCGTGGCCAGCCGGCCAGAGTCAGAGTCAGAGTCAGATCACATGGCTCACCCGGACCTCGGCCGAGCGCGGCCAGCCGGCCAGGGTCAGAGTCAGAGCCAGATCGTATGACTCACCCGGACTTCGGCCAAGTGCGGTCAGCCCGTCAGAGTCGGAGTCAGAGTCAGATCGGATGACTCACCCGGACCTCGGCCGAGCGCGGCCGACCGGTCAGGTCGCAGTCGCTGCCGTTGGTGTAGAACTGGCTGTGGTAGCGCTGCTTGGCGTTGCGCGAGCGGCCGTCGTCACTGCTCCAGTCGTAGTCCGACTCGAAGCGGCCTAGCACGCTGACCTTGCCCACGATCTGCCCGCCTGCGGCCCCAGCGCCCGGTCACGGCACGGCACGGCACCGCGGTGGGGAGCGCAGTCAGCCTCCACAAACAGAAACAGCTACACAGCAGCCGCCCGGGACACAGAAGGCGGGCGAGTGTCAGACGGCCGCCTAGGACAGGCAGGCGGGTCACACGGGCTGCGGGCGGGAGAGGGAGATGACGTGCTGCGGTACCACCCGGGGGTAGCTCAGGCCTCACAGCGCTCAGTTCGCCACTTGAACCGGGGAGCGCGCATTGAACAAGCACTGCGTCTGTGGCGGTGGTGGTAAATGGCCCACCAAAACACCAGCCCGCAGATTTGGACCACCAGCCGGGCCTCGGCCGCCGGTCCGGCGGGGCGGCACCGCTCCACTGCACGGCCCTCACCCTCCATGTGGTACTGCCGGACCTCGGCCATCGGGCAGACCTCGTACGTCCACCAGTCGCGCGTGCGTAGCAGGCAGGGGCCTTTCGCCAGGCCAGCCAGCAGACCTGCCAGTTAGCCACATGTGATCAGGGCCTTCTGCTTCCATGAGGACTGACTGGGGACTATACACCAAGATCCACCCTATTGGGATTCATCTTCTAGGGTGATGGATCTGGATTCCATTTTGAGATCATATTCAAATATTCATGTCACACCTCAAACTAATGCAACATCATATAAAGAACAGGCAATTCAGTCCTGAGGTGAACTGATGTACACATTTTGCTTCCAGCTAACCTTAAGGAGATGTGACCCTAGGGAATAGTTAATCCATGAGTTTTTCACATGTAAATAATGACTTTCATGATCCAGTGCAGTTATTGGGGGCTAAATCCTTATTTTCAGGCATCTAAGTTCTTTTTTAGGATCTAACTCCTCGCAAGGCATGACTTTTTGACCATATTTGAATAATGTGAAACTGAGTCCTTAGCTCTAATCTGCTCCTTAAGGACTGACTGGACATGGCAGCCAGCTCCCTAGCGACTAACCAGGTATGGAGGCTGAATCCACAAGCACTCACCAGGTATGGAGGTCTGTTCCCTTATAAATGACCAGGGGCATGGAGGTCAGCTCACTAATAACAACCAGGAACTCATATCAACTGGCCAGGTATGATGGTCTACTCCCAACAACTGAGTGAGTATGGAGGTCTGCTCCCTAGGAATTGACCAGGCATAAAGGTACTCTCATCCCAGACAGACCAGATATGAAAATATATTACCCATGGACTGACCAGGTATGAAGGTACTCTCATCCCAGACAGACCAGATATGAAGATCTATTATCCATAGACTGACCAGGTATGAAAGTACTTTCACCCAAGGCAGACCAGGTATGAGGATCTATTACCCATAGACTGACCAGGTATGAAGGTATTCTCATCCCATGCAGACCAGATATGAAGATCTATTATCCATAGACTGACCAGGTATGAAGGTCTACTCTCCATGAACTGACCAGCTATGAAGATCATCCCCCAGGGACTGACCAGGTATGAAGGTCTTCTCCCCAGGACTAACCAGGGATCAAGGTCTACTCCCCAGGGACTGGCCAGGTATGAAGGTATACTCCCCAGGGACTGGTCAGGTATGAAGGTCTACTCCCCAGGGACTGGCCAGGTATAAAGGTATACTCCCCAGGGGCTGGTCAGGTATGAAGGTCTACTCCCCAGGGACTGGCCAGGTATGAAGGTATACTCCCCAGGGACTGGTCAGGTATGAAGGTCTACTCCCCAGGGACTGACCAGGTATGAAGGTCTACTCCCCAGGGACTGGTCAGGTATGAAGGTCTACTCCTCAGGGACTAGTCAGGTATGAAGGTCTACTCCCCAGGGACTGACCAAGCATCAAGGTCTACTCCCAAAGGTATACTCCTTATGAACTGACCAGGTATGGATGTCTGCTCCTCATCTCCAAACTCCTGATGCTGCTGCTGTGTTTGGCCAGTGACAGGAAGCAGACAGGTGTATGCTTGCCCAGCTTTGTTGTACATCCTTACTGTGTGCTCCTGAGCCACCTGCAGTGGTCAATCAGTTAATGAGCACTAAAAACATGATTCATTGGTATGCACAAGCAGCTCCTGGTTGTGTGGTGTTCATATACTTTGGTAGCATCATACAGCAACACCTGTTGGAGTGGTATCATACCCCTACCCCACCAAATCAGCCAGTGTTAATGCAGACAGCACATATGTGACATCTGATATACCCCAGAAAAAAGTTTGGCAAACTATGTTTAGCAGACCTGAGTCACACACAAGCAAGTGCTTAATAGCATACACATGCTAACCAATAACTTCCAAGATAATTTTCCAAGATAAGGGCAGTGATCCAATTATTCATCTATCATAAGAAGTGCATTTGCATTCTAATTCACTCTGGTGCTCACCTCACTTAGAACCACTGGTTGATCAAGTATGTCCACAACATAGTTTAATGAATTTATTTCTTCAGAATCAAAGGTGAAGCATGATGACTGTACAGCCAGCCCAAGAACCAGAATGATGAGGCTACTAGCAAACATGGCTGCCTGCAATAAGGAACAATTTGTCAAAAAATAAATAATGGATGTAGCAAGTAAACAACAGAAAACCACTGAGCCACACCTTTCCCACATCACCAACCATCTGAAGAGGTGCATCAATCATGATAGGTAAAAACATGTTGGCCATGCCATCTGCCTAAAGTATGCACCATCTTAGCGTCAAAACCAAGAAAATAACAGGTTTAATTCGACCAGGCGCAAGCCTCACACTCTGCAAAACGGTCCGCATCAGCTAAATCTAGCAAGCAAACCTTACAAAACTGTTATCAGCACATGCGCCAGACATTTATGAATTCTTGCAACACCTTCATATAGTTAAATGTTCTATGTAATGCCAACACACTGCTCTTCCCTCCCGTCCGCCACTAATCGTATTTACAACCGGGAGGAGTTGGCGATGCGGCTGTCAGCTGATTGTAGTGAAGGTCGGTAACACTTCCAGCTGATTGTACGGTGACGTCATAAAGCCACAAAATTTATGCTAACCTGATGAAAGTTTGCGAGTCTAAGAGCGGCAAGTTAATAACGGGACCTGGGCGCTTCCCGTCATGTGGCGGTCCCCGCCAGGCGGACGGCAAATGATTACTGAAAGTTTTGTGGTGTAAGAATAGGATCATGGCTCACTTAAGCATGATCTCTGAGATGAATATGAAGTGAGCCCGGATCGCAACGAGCGTAACGGACAGAACCAAGCCAGCATGTGGGCGGGGCCGGACGGGACCCCACACGAACGACCAAACCTGGCGAGACCGGGTGGTTAAGATGAGACCGAGTGAACTGCACCGATTCAGATAAGACCAGACGAGACCAAGCATAGCCAGGCGGGATTAAACGGGATTTGAGGGCACCATACATGACCGAAGGGAACCGGACGAGACGGAGCATGCAGAATGGGACCAGGTGGAATCGGATAGAATGTGATGGGGCCAGACGGGACAGAATGGCATAAGACTAGATGTTCCTGGAACGGAGCGAGTCATGAGCGAATGGGACCGGACCGAACCAGACAGGGCGAAATGACCGGGCGGGATCAGACAGGATCAAGTGGCATCGTAAGTGATCTTAAGGTGTCGGGTGGGGCAGAATGGGACCACACAGACTTCGGCAGAATCGGAACGTATCAGAGAGAACCAAATGAAGCGTCATGAATGGAGATGGAACCGGGCGAAAACGGACAAAATAAGCGGAAACCGGTTAGGAGGAGACCAGACAGATCCGGATGGACTCGAAAGGGACCTGACGGAACCGTGCTGGACCAGACTGGACCAGACGGAACTTGTCAACAGAAGGTCTTCTGTTCGGCACTGCGGGCCCCTGGCAACACATTGGCCCGTCCTTTTTCAGGCGCCCCAAACAATGCAAACTGCGTGCCCGACCTTGTTCCTCCTCGGGAAATGAGCCTCCTGTGCTGAGACCAACACGGAGCTAACTGTTGGGTGTCCGTGATC